TCTCCCTTCCTGTACTGCCAAGTGGATATGCTACACATCTCTATAATATAAAAATATTTAAAATAAAGTTAATATTAGTATCAAACATGCCATATACAATGTACATGTAAGTGGGTGAACAATAGAAATTTCACAGATTCTTGTAGGTCATCTTTTTTTCAAAAAATGGCTAAAAAATCACCTCAAATTTTTATTACATTTTCTGATACATATTGATGTCCTAATGCTCTGCATAAAGTTTGAGCAGATTCCGACTTAAATTTTTTGAGTTATGGGCATTTTTAGAAATGTGCCGAATTCTAAAAATTGCCCATGCTTTTTTTCAAAAAATGGCTAAAAAATCACCCCAAATTTTCATTACATTTTCTGATACATATTGATGTCCTAATGCTCTGTAAAAAGTTTGAGCTGATTCCGACTTAAATTTTTTGAGATATGAGCATTTTTAGAAATGTGCCAAATTCTGAAAATTGCCCTGTACTATAGCCCATGCTTTTTTCCAAAAAATGGCTAAAAAATCACCCCAAATTTTTATTAAATTTTCTGATACATATTGATGTCCTAATGCTCTGTAAAAAGTTTGAGCCCATTCCAAATAACACTTTTCAAGTTATAGTCAATTTTAAAATTACTACTAAGAAAGTGGATGTACATCTACATGTACATGCATATTACTATTATACTGTGTATTACACATACGGCTGTACAACAAAACTATGGAGTAAGAAACTTAAAAAACCTACAAGTTTACAAAAAAGTACAAATAATATATAAATTAATCTTAAACAACAATTGCCTCTTACTTGCTGAAGATATGATGAAAAAGATGGCAAATGATCCAAAAACTCCATCACAAGACCCTTGACTGCATTGAGAACCACAGACTGCTTGGAATCAGCTCCTTTACCAATGTTGGACACATTCAAACTCAGTACATCTTTATCTACATGTACATGTATGAAAATTAATAAATGAATGAAATTCCTTTTATTATAATTTAAACTCACCAGTATTAGATGACCAGATTCCCTTATCATCATCACCTAAATGAATAAAATCTAATACGCCATCCATGTACATGTACATGTATATGTACATTGTACATTGTGCATTTATAAGTAGGTAGGGTTGATATTGGACTACAACAAAAAGCCACATACATGTACATGTACAGTCGATAATACATGTACATGTACATTGTACATGTACTACAATGTACAAGCTCTATTGTATAAATATAAGTATTTAATAATAATTATTCTACCACAATAGGAAACTTTCAAAGGGCAACAGTTTTCAATCTGCATAAGTATCTTTCAGGAAATTCACAAAAATTAGATTAACAAAAAAATTTTGGAACGGCCGACATCTGTGAAATTCTTTAGCTGTAAAATGTGAATCAATAATGCCACATGTATATACAATGTACATGTACATGTATATAGTACATGTACAGCGTCAATCATATTGTACCTTTAATAGATTGAGGTGTGGTATCAGTCCTTACTGTAGGAGTCATCATTCTACTTTGCTTTAGCTCTTCAGTTAGTTTCTCAACCTTTGCCTAAAACACAATAAAAAGATTTAATGTACACATGTACTGTACGTGTACCACATATATCTACATGTACATGTACATGTACATGTGTTAGTTACTATTAGGACAATCTTCTCTTCTTCCACCTGCTCATATCTCAATGTACTTTCTTTATTTATTTCAGATATCAGTGCATCATTATTAGCAACTTCCCTAATAGGAGAACAAGTAATTGTAAGACAACGAAGAAATGAAATGTTAATTGCCATTTTCAATCACTTCTAACAGCATTAAAACTACTGTACATGTACATGTACACGTACATGTACAAGTATGTACAGATGATGAGTCTTACTGTTCTAGTGTTGCTATTCTGTCTTTAAGTTGAGCCGTCAGTTTCTGAGATTTCTGATTCATTTCAAACATCTACAGTGTATAAATGTACATGTACAGTATATGTAATAATATGTATAATGTAATATATATACATATATTAATATGTATAATATAATGTATACATGTACAGTGTATAAATAATAAACAGCTCAAAGTGTTAGTCATTACTTTAGAGTGTAGTTGTTCATTCTCAGCTATTTTTGCTGCCAGTTCTTCTCCTTGGACATCAGGTAATAGCATTCCTCCATGATCCTAAAAATTAATAATTAGAAATGTGTGTAATTATTACAGTGTACATAACATTTTGTTGATTTTCCTAAATCTTAAATCTTAAATTAATCTTTATTAAATTTTTATTTTTATTTTTAAATCTCTAATTTAGTCTAAAATCTTTAAAATAGCCACTAATTAAAGGCCTCTTGTGAATTCTATTTCTACTAATACCCATAAATTAAGCATTATTCACAAAAGAATTTCTATGAGTACATGCACATTCAAAGTCTAGGCAATTTTGCATTATCACTCGTCATTCACAGAATCAATTAAATATGGCATATACATGTATATGAACATGTACAATGTACCTTTTTCTTTTTTCCTTTTGCTGATGATTCCAAGTCATCTTGAAGTGTTGAGACACGCTTTGACAACTAATCAAAATAATAATGGAGACACTAAAATTTCAATAGAACATTCTCATACCTGTTGATTTCGAAAGCTCAATGATTCATTTTCCTGTGCATGTTTTCTAAGAGCTTGATCCTTTGTTCTTAACTCAACCTAAAGAATAATGAACAGATGCATACACGTGTACTAATCAAGAAGTACTATACAAAAATAAAATAATAAAATCAATGCAGTGCCGTCCCAATTTGTACTGATACTTATCAATGCCCTCATGATGTGCAGAAAGTGAAAAATAACCAAATAATAATTAATCAAAATAAACAAATACCTCTAATGATGCTTTTGCATTCTGTTCAGTTCTGACAGCTTGTTTGAGGACGTCAACTTGAGCTCTTAACTATAAAATTAGTAAGTTATTTTTCTAGCGTGTGGCTACAATAAAATTCCTTTTGCAAATTTTTGAATGCACATTGGCCCAGGCTTGGGGTCAATTACAAAATTTCATTTCAATTACAATTACAATTACTACCAAAGCAACTAAAACCAGATCAATTACAATTACAATTACTGCCATAGATGAGACACTCAATTACAATTACAATGGCAATAGCTTGCAATTACAGCATTAATTACAATGATCTTATTTTTACCCGTATCATGACAAAAATAACAATGATTTTTTTACCACATTGCATTAAGTTTTTAAAAGTTTTTGTTAATCAGTGAACATTAATCAGGCTTAATATGCTGAAAATTCACTCTAGAGGACTGATATAGGTAGGATATCAAAGTAAGATTATAGGCACAATTACAATCACAATTACGCAATTACAATATGTATAACCCAATTACAATTACAATTACGCACTGTAATTGTAATTGACCCTGTAATTGCAATTATAATTGTAATTGACCCCAAGCCTGCATTGGCCTGCCGTGGCCAAATAGATTAACAGAAATTTTGGGCCACAAAATTTTCTAGCTGTACAGTATCACTAATTTTGAATAATCAAAGTCTTATGCCAAAGGTTTCAAAATACAATGCAGGAAAGTTTAAAAAGGGCGTGGCCCGCCAGAATTTGTGCACACAGAAAAATTACAGTTAAAAAACAGTTCATATTGATATATCATACCTTAGCATACTCCTGTGCTAGCTTCTGATACTTGACCTGCAGCTCAGAACCCATCAACAACAAGAAATGCTGGAACTCTTAGAGTAGAGTCTTACAATTTTGGGCGGTGCGTGAATCTAAACCACACCTTTAAGGTTACGCCCAATAGAAAACTCCGCCCCACCACGTGCTGCCATCTGGTTTCAGTAGTTTGATCACGGGTTTGATTGATGAAGTCGACAATTCTTTTGTTGATCGCTGTGTTAGAAGTTCTATTGATGTGTAAGTGTTTTGGGATTAATTTTGGACAAGAACACAATGCAATATTACAGTTATAGGTAAATAGGGACTAATATTTTAGCATGAAAGCTTGGTTATTTGACAGGATTATTTAGAATACCATATAAGGGGTATATTTCACGGGGATTTATTTTTGTTAATTTTACGTTTAAAAAAATTGTCAAAATTTTTTCTGTGAAAATTATTTTTTTACCATACTAATAATGGTCAGTAGAAGAAAAACTCAAAAAATTTTTTCTTGTGAATAGGCTTAAAGGTGATTTTCGTGAAATATTTTCCCCAGGAAATATACCCCCTATATGGTAATTATCATAGAATGGGTGTGACTTAGGTGATGTCATTTGGCATTTGAATTAATCAACTAATGTAGAGTCTAAGATGGTAGCGTTTAGCCCTTATAGAAAATAATTGCAGATCCATGTTGCTACTTTGGTTAATCGTTACATTGTATATCTTAGCCTTAGTAAAACATTATCGTGATTTCAAAAATTTCTGTATTGTATTAGAAATGGTTGTTCATTTGACTATTGTTATGCATAATAAATTCAAGATACTTTGTTTTAATTGTCTTTTTGACATATTACATTAACCGTGTGCATGGTACATACATAATGAGTGCATGGCTACTGGCTAGATTTGATTATTTATGATAAAATGTAGTTTTGATCTTATGCTTACATTTTTCTTTTGTAATATTTTTATTAGAAATGGACTTTATTGGCTGCTTTCGAACGGACTCTTGAAATGTAAGTTTATTTAGTATGCATTTTGACTGTCTTTGCTGATGCCTTTTTGTGTTGTAATTTATTTTCAGTATGTTCTAGTATTGACAGTTACATATTATGTATGGGATAATCACTGACAGTTTATGCATACATGTCCTGACCTGTGTAAATGTACTATTGAGTGATTGTCAGGTGCTTTGATAAGATTACATGTACGAGTCCTTTCTTTATTCTTGCTTGCCTTTATTTCTTGAATTCTCTGTATAATCAATAATCAACTGATAAGCCATATATACATGTATATGTATCGGTTTATCTTGCAACTGGCAAGTGCTGTATATTGTAATGGTAATTTTTGTATTATGTTATAATGCATGCAGTACAAACAACATACAATAGTACTACATGGTGCAGCACATCTCATTACAAATGTCTGTAACAAGTTTCTTTAATAACTGGTTACTATGTACAAGTCATCTTTGTTGTGTTAAATGTAATCCCCTTCTATGTATACACATGAATGTACTACTTTCACTTTTGATTCTTGCTAAGCACATGTATGAATACATTATGACTTCTGATGTACTGTCATTTCTATAACCCACAAATACTTTCAATTCCTGCAGTAGTCTGCCAGTCAGTGCTATGATGTAAGGTTCTCTTTTGACTCATTGTATAGCATTATATACATTATATTATATAGCATTATATATATAGCATTTGTTCACTAGTTGCTGTATTGAGAATTACATGTACCAGTAGTTCCCAGTATTTTAATACCAGTACTCTTGGTAGTGCTACTATCAAAAGTTTACTTGCTCTGGTGAGACCGGCAGTCTAGCACCAGTTTAGAGGAGGTTCTTATTTGTGTAACAGTACTAAGCATAGTGTGTGAAGAGGCAAAGCTGGTAACATCTGGCGCCAGTGGTAACATCTGGCTCCAGTATATGCATGTTTAGGTCTGTTAGTTTATACAGATGTGTTTTGTCCAACTTAGGAGAGTATGTCATAGTAAGTTATTAACATTTGTTATACTGCTTGGTCACTATTCAGTATTATGGGTTTAGAATTGTCTGCAGAGTAAAAAAATCAAATTGATAGTCATATTTCCAAGGTCATTATTTTTGTAATATACGTTTTTGTGATATACAAATGCTGTGCAAATTCTGACGAATTGTAGGGAATTCACACCATTTTTATGCTATGCAGTATGCAGCAAGAGTGCATAATAGGGAGCTCTTGCCTCTTGGTATGCAGCAATTGTCACAAAATGCTCATAGTACAAAAATGCATGCATAATTTAGTTGGTGATGTTTTTAATCAGCTTTAAACTCTGTGATTATTAGTTGTTGTAAAGGTCACCTCAAATACTTTATGAAGATATCACGAGTTGTTTGTGCATCTTATTGAAGGTGGATCTTGGTTAGCAGTAGGAGTGTTATTGGCGTATTAGTTGTTTTAGGTTGGGTTTCCGTTGGAGTGTACAATGTACATGTAGTTGCTTGTCAGGGGGAATAACAGCTGTCATAGGTAGGGATTTCATGGTATTATGTGTTTTTAGAAGTAATGAACCACTACATTAGTGATACATGTATGTATGCAGTGCAACTGTATCTACTATAGTGTATTATCTATTAGATAACAGTTGACATTATAGTAGAGCATTATCATTTAGGAAGTTTAATTCTTCTTTATTGTTATACACTAAATCACTAATGCTGTAATAGCCTATAAAAGTCCTCTTTTAGTAATTTACTACTTTTTTACTTCAAATTGTGTGTGGAGTCATTGGTATTTGGTTTCCAATGTTTGTAGCAAATAGCAATGCCTTATTTATTTAGAACTGACTTGTACTGACTGGTAGTAGCACAATATTATTATTACAAGCTAGTACATGTACAATCTTTCTTAGGGACGTACTATTAACATACACATATATATTCTTAGAGGAATAAGAACCTGTTCTTGTAATGTGTTGCTTAAAATGCCCTTATATGCCCTTAGTTACTCCATCAAAAGATTGATTTTAGATTATTTACAGTAGTAGTTAATAAATCCTAATGTTATTATTTTTATATATATTTATTTGTTTGTTTATTTCTTGCACTAGCTGTGCCTGTAATAAGTATGTCTTATTATGATTAGTATTAGCATAGTATCAGTTAGTATTATTTACTTTAAATGTTACATGTACATGTATTACATGCTTACTCATCTTTTGAGTACATGTAGTTGGGTTGATTAGATTTAGAATCAGGCTATTCCTGAGTAGTCAGTATGGATGGGTAACAGCTTGTACTAGATAAAAAGTGGTATGTTAAGGAAGATATTAGTTATTTTATGTTTCTTCTGTCATTATGAACATAATGTATTCTAAAGTGCGTCACAACTAACTATTAATATATTTTATTTTTGACTTCACAGTCATTTACTCATTTAAAATTGCACGGAAAATAAAGACACTGTTCCAAATTGGAAAGCCTTGTACAACCATTTATGTACATGTACATGTACATGTATTTCATGAATGATAACCCTGTTTTCTCAAAAAGCTTTAAGTATTGAGCTCTATATTGTATTCCATATGACAAACATAGTTTATTCATTTTGCATATACATACGTATAGGTTATTGAAAGAAGATACTAGATTGTACATGGCCGAAATCCCTCCTGAAACACTTTGTGGAAATATTTATGTAATTGTTAATTAATTAAAGACATTAATGTGATATTATTGAGCAAAGAACTTGACCCTTAACCTGCAAAGCCAATGAGGAAAAATTATATCATAGAAAATACAACTCAGGACAATTTTGACACTCTGTATATCAGGCCAGTATTTGGGTCTTAATTGATAGAGCAGAATAGCACAATAGTGCCTGTGATTATCACTTTTATCAGGCTGGTTTTTAACTTAGGGATTAGCTTATATCTTTATTTGAGATTTTTGGACTAGAAAAAATTGCATATACTTACATACTGATTGATGTGCTAATTTGATATGTATAAGTAAGCTTGTTTTGCTTGAGATGATTTGTATCAATTTATGCATATTATTTGCATTTGAATTATCTCATTGTCATTAGATTTTAAAAACAAAGAAGCTAAATGTGTACATGTAAGTATTCAAGCGAAGTGTTCTTTTTTAAGATGAGTCATCCACTAAATTCCTAAAAAATTGCATCATAATTGTAAAATGATTTCAATGAACTAACTTTGTGTAAATCTTCAAATGCTCTACTTGCATGCAATTTGACACTTTCTCCAGCTTTTTTGAAATATTCACTTGCCACTTGAGAAGATTCAGTATTGCCTTTGTTACTACCACTCTGGTTTCCATGGATATACTCTTCAGTAAGTGCACTATACAGTAATTGATTTACTATGTTTAATCATAGCATTAATTACCTGTCAAGTGGGTTATCGACATCAGGACACATCAACAGTCCATAAATGTAGCTCAGTATTTCTCTCATACTGGTGGAGGGTGTGTATGACTCTCCAAGTATTGCATGACATATCCTCCCACTGCTGCTACTAACATTGCAATGATATATCTAATAGTTTTAAATAATAAATTATGTTTGTGTGTAATGTGACCATACTGGTGTAAGAAATCGTATTTCAGGTTGGGTCAAAGGATATTTTTTTGGAAATTCAACACTTAGAGTATACACTCCTATAATAAGACACATTTTAATGTTTGTTTAATCATAATGATAGAACTAACCTCCTGCATAAGCACTTTTATCTGGGGCAGACATTAATACTTTCCATTTGTCATAGCTATGATTAATTAGTAATGTAATTCACTTATACATGCATATGGCCTTACCTTGTTTGACTTGGATAAACTGTTATACTGTGATGAGGATTATGCATGAACTCTCTAAGTTCTCTTATTATTCTTCGTTGCTGTGACTTGCTTGGTATTTCTTTTAGCTGATCTATGTGGCTTAAAATTTATGCAATATTAAAACTTTTTATCAAATGAATTTACGTTTTCATTGAGTGTGTCTTCACATTGTGAAATGAGTCAATGTAGGTTGATTTAAAGCTAGCCTCTGTCTCATATGGATAACGATCAATATCTTGTAAATCTCTTAAATTAGCCTGTATAAAAGGGAATTATATTACTTAAAATGTCTTATTGTATTATAGTATACTGAAGATTGTTTAAAGCCCCTTTCACTCAGTGAGAGCATTGCATCTAACTCAAAGTATCTGAGTGCTTCCTGCATTGTTTTAGGGAGAACGCATACACCTCCTATGATAAATTATGGTTAAAAGTCAAAATTTTGTGACAGCAGTTGAAACCTGTTGCATGAGAGAATGCCTTTTGTACTTTATTGTCAGAGGGATGTGTCAACAAAACTGTATCCACAATTACACCAGCATCCTGTACATTATACATGCACATGTCACTTATTATTATTATTATTATTACTATTATTATTATGAAAATACCTTTGTGCATTGCAATGCATATTCATATGTCACACTGGAACCGTTGTATCCATCAGTTAGACACAATATCCTCCGCCTTAAATGTATTAGTAAAATATACTATAATTGATGGTAATTTTAGAAGGACTGGAAAACTGCTAAATATTTTGGTGATTGGTAGCTTTTAATTTGGTGAATTAGTGGCCATGGAGCACAAGCAAAAATATTGGGTTATTTTGGTGAATGGCTATGAAAGCACTAAATCCCCCCCTTGAAAAAAAACAGTATATATGTATATAGTTTTTATCACTTACCTTTTACAGTTGAATCTTTTAAGTTGCTGAACAGCATCAACAATAGCTGCTGTCAATTCTGTTGAACCATCTAGTTCAACATCTTCCAAACTAGTCTGAGTAATTATGTCCACAAAATGATAATTACAATGTATATTCCCAGATTTTACCTCAAATTTTTCTGTATTTTTGCTAATTTCTAATGCAAGAATAACATCTGATCCAAATATAGTTAGTCCCAGTGCATGGTGCAGCTTATATGCCAGAGTACGTGTTGCAAAACTATTAAACAAGTGTTTAGCAGCAACAAGCCTTGTCATTTTTCCAGTTCTAAAGTGTCTCACACTAAATTTCAACAATGAAGTATGTACACTTACTCTTCAAAAACTCGAGAACCCATGGAACCACTGTGGTCAAATAAAACCTTTTATGGCATGACACAGAGCCATGAACTATATGTACGTTTATAATAAGTTTCATACCACAATAGCTTCTTCTGTGTCCCATTGTATACTTTCTTGTGGTGCAATCACAGCAGACTTTCTAATTTTCCTTGATAGTGTGATGCAATTAATCAATGTATAGTTACCTTATTTCATTGTAATTTTGAATTTCTTCACTGCCTTTACTGATTACTTTTTTAATGTCAGAGGTAACTTGCATTTCAAGGTCACTTGATCTAAATGTTAATGTGCAGCCAAGTGTGTGCAGCTGAATATTAATATGATTGTTATTTCTAACTTTCCAATTTTTTCGAGCTCTTTTTTTGGTATCACTTGTTGATAGCCACTTTCAGCATCAGCACATGCATTGTAGAATCTTCTTTTTTCATCTGAACTTTTTGTTGAACCAAGAAAGTAGATTAGATGTGCTGTTAAGATTTTGTCTATAATAATACTAAACTTTATTAGTTTTTAACCTTCAATATTGTAAGTTATACATTCATCCCCGCTGTATAATCCTTGAGGATTCAGTATATGTAACTCGGCTAAAGATTGTAGCATGTCAAACCATTTAAAAGATATATCCACCTTTTTACAAACTCTTGATGCATACAAGTAAAATAAATACTATCAAGAGTAGATGTTCTTTATATTATTATAACTGACTTTGGTATTTCATTCCTTGGTGGATTTGTCCACACACATACTTTTGTATCAGTTTCCCACGGAAAATACATGAGAAGCTTAGCAGTCTCGATATCTTCCTTTAATTGTTCTTTTGTAATTCTGCCTAACTGTACAAACTCATCACCACCTGCAATAATTATATTAAAGTGCACATGCTGCCATATTGTGGTACCATACTTTCAATTTTGGCTAAGATGTTTTCTTTATCAAAGGGACCTTGTGTCATATCTACATCTACACGAACTGGTTGATGTATCCTTGTTCCTGATAAAGGGCACACTAGTGAGCAGTGTTGTGTTTCAACATTTACTGTGCATGCCTCTTGAACATCCTTGAATTTAAAAGTATGTGTTAATTTGTTATAAAATTGTATTTTGCTTACATGTGACTTATGAATCAGCATAGAGAAAGTATAATCTGAATATTCAAAGATATGATCACTGCTCACTATATTCAATGCGAAAAACTGATAGCTTTACAATTATTGCAACCTCATACCTGTAGCAAAAGCTTCAAGAATTGTTTTGAAAAGCAAATAGAAACCCTCAATTAATGCTGTCTGTATAAAGAAAAACAGATACATCATTAGTTGTAAATAAAACTCATACCCAGCCTGATATTGTGAGAAATGAAAATTCTTTCAGATTCTGTAATGCATAGACCAAAGGAGGGAAATCAGTGAATGTCATTAAGTAAGACAGGAATTTTTCAAAGTCATACTCTTTGTTATAGGGCTGACGTGAACACTGCATGTACATAATACAGTAATAATTATTGTACATGTGTAGAACTTTACATACAATAAACTTAAGTATTGAAAAAAATTTTGTGATCCCTGACTTTGTTTGTGGAACCAAAAAATTGTAATTTTTGCTGCCATAATCAGAGGAACGAGGCTGAACTATTTCTAATGGGTTTCTCAATACAACTCTAATATGATCCTTATCCTTTAATTCTGTAAATGCTGTCATCCGCTCATGCATATATCCCCTCCTGTCAATAAAAGTAATTAAAGTTTACTAATAACTTTATATTTCACCTGACATAAAGTGACATAAATGGAACTTGTATGTCAGTCACACTGTAAACTTTTTGTGCAATGTCTTCCGGTGAATCACAATCCATGTATGCATTGACTGAGAAAGAGCCATGGAAAGGAGTTTCAATTATAAAAGTTTCCTGACCTGATTATTATATAGATTTCAATTGGTACATTATAAAGAGTATCTTATTAAAATTACCAATATTATGATCCAATTCAGGTAAAGAAACAAATTCCTTCATTTGTGGTTGCTTCTTTGACCTTCTTAATACATAAAATAAATCACCATCCTTTATATTCCAAGACCTTAGTGTGCCTATATAGCATATATATTAGCTAAAGCCATAATACCATAATACCTTGTCCAGTTATTTCATTATTCTGTAATGGGTATCCATGACTTGAATATAGCTCAATTGTTTCTTCTTGAGGAATTTTGTTGTCACTACATATCATACTTGTAATTTCATCCAGCTTCATTGATGGTTTTATTTTGACAAGCTTCATTTCAGCTATATCATTTGCAAAAAGATCAGAATTGCAATAGATGTATCTTATATATATTTCAGTGTCTTGATCAAAGTCGTCGTTAGTTTCATCAGACTGCAGAGTTATTGATTGATCTTTGTGGATATACTTCCATAGCCTTCTTTTGATTACATCATTGACATCTAAATCTGCATAAACATTAAAAGTAATAGATCTCTAAGTTACATTAATTACTAATTACCATCAAGATCTGCCTTTTCCAAAAACTCAAAATCAGCAATTTTTTTAAAACCTTTTTTCCAAAGATGAGGGATTATTTTATCCTCTAAATCAATCTCATCTACTCCAGAATCTATAAGGTGTTTTTGTAGCACTTCCATAAATACTTTGGCCTGTTCAACCATAAATATTGTGTCCAGGGTTCACTCTCGATGGCAAGACGGCCGAAGACTGATAGTATCTGACATTATGCGTGATAATTATACTAGTCGAATTTACAGCGGATGCTTTTTGGGCGTTATAATTATAGATCTATTGCGACTTTGTGTGGGAGAGGCTAAACTGCCTTAAATATAAAAACCAAAAAGCTTGCTAAATTTCGAGATAAATCTAGCTACAGGGTTATTAGATACTCGTTATGGCTACTAAAAATGGTGTTGGTGGCGGTGACGGAAATCAGGGTGCTCGAGGTAGTGGTAGCAGCAGCAATGATCGAGCCAGTAGTGGTGGTGCGGGTGGCAATCCAAGTACTAAATCAGAAAACCGTTATGACAGAAACAAAGTACTACAATACCCGGTCATGATACTTTATTGCTCATGATTCTAAACCCTTTAGTTGCAAATGGCTATTTCTATAGTTACATCTCTCCTAGGAGATCCACAACTGGCAGCAAAATCTAGACCTAAATCTCTAACAACAATTGAGGTATCATATAATGTTTAAACTTGATAGGATTGTTTAACCAGGTTGGGTATATTTATCATCTCAGTATAGACTATAGATATAACTGCACTAATCTAGTAATAATAAAACAAAAATAGGCAGGTTTTAAGAGTTTTGAGCTGCAGCCATGCATTTGTATGCACATGCACAGCCCACATTGAAGAATGCCTTTTTCATTTTGGAAGATATTCAATCCACAAAGAAACTAAACTCCAAAAGAAATTCACCCACATTATCCTCATATTTGCATGCATGGGCATTGAACTATGATAGAATTAAGAGTCAAAATTTATACCTGTCTTTGCCTGTCATAGTAAATTGTAGCAGCAACTTATTGGAGCATATTAAAAGCGTGCAATGTTACTAAACTTAATTTATTCTGCATTTTTAGACAATATTATTTTGTTTGTTGTATAGGAAATGAAAGTTATTAATTTAACTTTCAAGCAATTATCACCCTTGACTAATGACTTTATAAGGAGTTTGAAACAGCCAAATGATTTCTTTGATATCATTGAGAAAAAATATTGTCAGTACTATGATTGTATCATGAAAATTGTTACTTTTGGCAAAGTATGACTTAAATTTTTCTGCATGGGCACATATTATATATTTTATACACAGGTACTTAAATTTGATGTTAATATTGAAGTGGCATTCAATGATTTAAACGAATTGATAAAAAAGCAGTTGGAAGCTTTTCAAAAATATCCTAGTACTAAAAGTATTAAAATGCTTCGTGAAGCAGCATTTACAGCTGTACAATCATCCTGCAATTTATTAAGATCTACTATGGAAAAAAGACTAGAAGCAATAGAAAAAAAGGTCGAGGTAAATATAATTTGTCTTGGTATAAATATTGTATAGTTCAGTAACATACAAGGAATATTTTGAGCTACACACTCACATTGTAAGCTATAACCTTATAATTAGCTATGCTATTATTTAAAAAATTAAAAAAATTAATTAGGTACCTTAACCCTCTACAAGATCTAACCTCTTAGACTACATCATTTCAAGGGTGCACATTATCATGATATTTTTAGGCATTACCATTACTTACCACTTACCAGGCTATATGGATGGAATTTATCATGTATTTTTAGTGAAATCTGACTTTTTCTTCCAATAGGTACTAATTCGAAAAACTGAAATACTTTCTGTATTACCAGAGAAAATCAAACCAAATTACCTTGATTGTGTAGTGACAACTGTACAAACTTTTTATGTAAGCCATATCATCTCATTTGTCATAATGCATTTGTTGGACTTTCATGAACCACACACATATAGTTTTTTTAATTTTACAATTTTTATTTGTGCCTCAGACTTTGCAATACATTTTTAAAAAGTAAGCTGGTGAGGATTGGTTATCACCATCCTAATGTAATTTTGAAAAATATAATGTTTTGCTTATTGCATTTGTCCTAATGTATATTTTTGAAAATATGCATGCTTAATAGTTTATTTATAAAAGGTGCTAAAATTTACAGCTTCTCTGTTTAGGACCTTGAACAAAGGATCAGTTTAGCTTTTGATGCTGCCAGTTTTAGTGAATACTTAGCAAAGATCACTGAAGCAATTGATTGTGCTGAGATCTTGACTAAAGGAACCTTACTGGTATTTGCTGCAGATTGTAATAATTACAAATTTATTACTTATTCAGTGTCTTCACTTTTATCAATTTGGAGTTGTATCCAAGGATGAAAATTTGATTAATCTCACTGGCTTCTATTCATTGGTTTCATGGATTGCAAGTGATGCATGCATCAATAATGTTAGTATTTTAGCCAATACATTACCAACCTGCTAATCATTATTTTAAAGAGCAATGTTTTACACAGGTTTGATAATTCATAGCTTCTAGATAAAATATGTATCAGTCTTGTTTAAAAAGATGTACAAATTTATTGCTCTGAAATGATGTATAGTAGTATTTAATTTTTAGCAGTTTGGTGATAACAGCTAGAATGCTTGGAATTACTGCTTATCAATTATAAATATTTGTAGGTGTATCTAGACTATTTTTGTCATTATTTTCCATTATATGCTACTGCTGTTTTAAAACAGTTATCTAAAGATGCTGTTGAAAAAGTATGATTGCTAATTTTATTGTAATATACATAATAATGCATACTTTTTATAGATGGAAATTATAAAGAACAACATTCAAAAGAGGAAAAAATTAGTTGATAATAAAAAAACAGCAGCTGAACTCAAAAAAATTTTATCTGTATCTTTTATTGAATCATCTGATTTTCCAAGTTTTTATGAGGTATATTATTATAACTCTGCGATATATATTAATTAGTATTTCCATAGAAACTATGTCAAATTCTTGAAAGCTTTCACAAATTTGTGAAGAACTGTAACAGTTTCTGGTTTAATGGTGGTGAACCAGCTAAAGTTCGAATTAAACTTGTTCAGGACTTTGCAGTTGCATTAGAGTAAGTGCTGTGCACAATTGTTCAGTGCTAAGTTTATTAATAATTATAGGTCAGAATTTCATGATATCCAATTGAATAATTTTAGAAAAAAAATTAAGTTGTTAGATCAAAGCAAAATACAACAGTCTAATCCTAATTCAGATCTCCTTGCTATAATAAATTATTCTCAAAATTGTTTAGACAGTCTTGCTTTTTTGAAACAGATAGACATATCATATCAATCTATCAGTGAGCGTTATGACAAAGTAAAGCCAGTCAATTTAATCACAAATAACTGACATTATATATCTCCTAGATGAATGAATATGAAGAGGCATCAATAACAGCTCTTACAAATGCATTAGAGTTTTCTCAATCTATGGATGACATTGGAAGTTTAAATGAGCAAATATCTAGTTTCAAAAAATCATTGATGTTAGATATTTATTGCTCTAAATGTAGCAAAGAAAACTTAGAAACTGTAATAATCCAGGTGAATGCATTGATAAAAGAAATACAAGAGGCAGCTAGCTCATTATTTGGTAAACATTGGCATTAACATAAATAACTTTACACTTTTTACCATGTAGATAAGAGAGATATGGTACATAACTTAATAATTTGTATAATTGACACTTAAAATTTTATAGTATCCTCCTCAATTAAGGGATTTAATAAAACCTCAAGGGTAAGAACCAATTTTTTGTACTTTAATTTTTGCTGTTTTAGAAATGATTTATTAAGTACACATACAACTTTCAATTTTAAAGTCATAGTAAGAAAAGAGGATTGGAAACTTGAAGAAAATACAAATTTCTACATTGCCATGGCATTTTACATCCCAAACCATGGTGAACATATCTTAAAATTAGAATTTCGTCCTTCAAAGTTAGTAGAATTATTATGTATTTTTTCAACATTTTAATAACATAGTATTGAACCAGAATATTCAATAATGTCATGTGGAGTGGCTATTAAACGGAGCTTTCAAAAGTTGTATTATAAATACTTATTATTTCCTTATTACAAGACACCAGCAGAGCTAATATTCATTCAGAAGCCACAATATGAAGAAGCATCTTGCTGTTACAGAGTATTGGACGTACCTCGAAATATAGATAAAAAAGAGGTTTTTGATAGTTGTATCTATCCTCAGGTACCTGATAAAGAGCAAGGAAGACTCAGCAAATGGTGGCATGGGACAACATTAAAATTACCTGCCAGTTCACATAGTTTAGATTTTTGTGCACAAGCACATTTGGGAAAAGAATATGATAATATTAAGCAGTGTGAAATTGGAGATGCTGTTTTAGTCTGTGAAAAGATTCTGTCTGTTCATCAGTGCTTATCAAAAGCATACAAAGTTGACACTAATAGTATTAATGAAGAAATGGCTTTTTATAATTCAAATGCTTCTCAGGTATAAGAATCATTAATACTATTTTACTTTATACATGTGCAGATAATTCAAAGTCAATTAGAATGCTTATTAGCCCAAGTTGAAACTTGTGATTATCCTTCAAAAATTATTTCTGGGATAGTATTATGTCGATGTCTGGTAAAAATATCTCCAAAGAGACTGACGCCAGAAGTAATTACTACGCTTCTCTCAACAATGACAGTAAATTATGACAGTACTAAATCATGTTACTTGGAGTTTGAGATTGTTAAAAGTGCAATTAATACTTCAAAGTAAAATTTAATTAGATGTAATTATATTCATTATTATTTTCTTAATTAATGCAGATGGTTTATTGAATCTTTACATGTATGCATATCAAAGGCTCCTTTAAGAAGCTTTCCATATGTCCTGAAAGTATTGCCTCTTTATCACTGGTTTTGTGAAGAATTTAGCAATTCTTCTTTAATTCAACTTAATTATGATGCTGATTTGCTTTCTCAAATGATTGAGGGAAAAGATAAACGAATACTGCCTTTGTCAATAAATAGCAGGTATAACACTATCATGGTTAATGCTTTAATTATTGTATGTATACAGTGACCTTATTAATGCAATTACTCAATTGGAACCAGTTCAAATTGAAAAAGATCCCTTACTGCAAATACAGTTGGTCAAGATGTCATCTAAAGTTGCACATTTTAGTTATTTGATGAAGTATGTAGCTTTGCAAATCATACTTGTTGATCTTGGGGTGAAATTAAAGAGTAAAGTAATAATTATGATTATTATGAGATTTTGTAATTTTATTATAAAATAAGGCAAATGTTGAAGAAATCACTGAAGTAATTTCTCTGTTATGGCAGACAAAGGACAATCTCAAGTAAGTCCAAAATTTTTATATAATAATTATACTTTTTGGTACCTGATCACAAATTTTATTGCAATATAAAATAATGAAATTGTGTATTTAAAAAGGTTATATGTGTTTGAACTTTTTTGAATGCCTCTCACTGTAATTTTATGACTTATTATAATTTATAGTGTTCACCCCGATCTATTAAATTGCCTCAAATTTTTGTTCAACTCATTGGATTTCATTGCAGTAACACTTCATGCCCTTGGACAAAAAGGAAAAAATGCTGTTGTAGCAACACTGAAGCTTTTATTGCTTGCAGTTGATGGTTTGGATAGTAGTAAAAAGAAAGAACAACTTCAGCATGTTGTTCCATTTATTAGAAATTGGGCTATTGTCAATATTGGTGAAAAATTTTCGTATGGACGTGAGACAGGTGTTCAAAAAGAGTACCAGGTATGTAAATAATAGTTTTAATGCTCATTAAATACTATATTTGTAGTTTTGGGCTGACATGTATTCTTTTGCTGATAATAGTTTAGAATGGAAAAAAATTATTCAAGAAACAGTGTTTGCTCGCTTTGATAAAGTATTTATTTCATAGACTAACTGTATAATTATAATATTTTACAGATCCAATCATTTGAATTAATGGTAAAATTATTTAATAAGTTAACTACTCTAGTGACTGATCATGACATTATTGATGTTACAAGAGATTGCTTGGTGGCCCATATTTCTTCAGCTACAGACAAGGCATGGAATTCTGTACATGCATTTATCATTAAGCCCAACATACACTATGCAACATTTGTTTGCACACCAAATGTTGCATAATGTATGTTGGGCTTTACATTAATTATTTTAGGACCTGCAACTTGTTGCTGGGGGATCAGTAAAAACACAGAGTATTTTGACACATCTTATTGATGTAAAATTTCCTTCTTTGCCAAATGATATTAACACTCTTTTTGAATGGGATATGTGGCCTGTCATATTAAAAGGATTAAGTATGATATAAGTTGTTGCCATGATATATTTTATTTAATTACCTATAGGTAATATACAGTCTGATGAGCCTCAAAGAATATGTAAGCATGTTAGAGGTATTCTAGAAGACTTATGTAGTGATATAAAATCTGGAAATGTAACTGTTGAAATGTTGTTACACCTGAAAATGAAATGGAATGCATGTATAGTCCAAATGATGTCTACATTATCTGTAGATCAACATAGATTTCTTGATGATATGAGATTTGCAAACAAAAGAGTTCATACATTAAAAATATTTTTGCTTCTTGTAAAAGAATTCGCCTCTTCAATTCCTGAAGGTATAAGCTTATATCTAGTGATAGATTATATTGGTGTTTTTATTTGTGTATGTCATTCATTGTTATAGGCTTATCTAGTCTGTTGGTTAAAGCTAATGATCTGTTAAAAAATCATCAGGAATACCTTATAAAATCTCTTTGTAACTATGATGATGGAGAGTGGGATTTCCCCCTATTTCCTGAAGCTAAAATGATCACACCAATGCTAGTCCAGTTTGCTGTTATGAATTCAGAGGGATTTAAAAACGATATTTTTTATTACAAAAAGAAGCAACTGGAAAAAAGTGTAACTCAGGAATCATCATTGGAAGATGTGTGTGAGTCTTTTTGGGTACCTCTATTTGACCACTGCTGCACAGTTGCAGATGAATTGAAAGAAGAAACCATTACATTAAGTAACCTTAGTTCGCTTTTTGGAAGCACAGAATCTGCTGATTCTGAAAAAACTATAGAAAGACTTCTATCTGCTGTTGAGAAGTGTCATGCACAGTGTACTAAGGATATTGGCTTATTAGCTGATCTCTCTATTCAAAATGATATACATAAGCTAGCAACATTTATAGAGTCTGAACCTTTAAACATGCAGTGGGTAAAAAAGCTTGGAAAGAAAATAACTGACTGGAGCAATGTTCAAGCACTTTCTGCCGAAGCTGATTACTTAATGGAAATCATAAAAGCTTACGATTTAAATCAGTCACCAATTTATCGCTTTTCAAAACAAGTAACTGATTAATATAAATTATGAAAGACAATTTAATATTTTAATGTAGGGTATTCATGAACTTCTTCAACAGATGCTTAAATCTGTCACTGATGATGATAATAAAGTTTTATTATTTTTAAAGAAAATCAGACTCGTTGATGCTGAAATAAAGGAGTCTGTGAAAGAGTTAGGACAGTGCAAAGATTTAAGGTCATTTATTAAAAGTAAAAGTAAAGGTAAGTTAGTATCCTTTAAGAAAGTAATGACTAGAAGATTTACAGATGTCAGTGAAATGGAAAGATTTATTCAAATTGCACTTGATATTGTTGCTGGAGATGGAGCTGAAATGCAAGATCGATTGATTGATTTGTCTGAATTGTGTGGAAAATTTTACCCTTTGCTCTATCAACTAGATTCCACTACTGAAGCTCAAGATGTTGACACAATTCAAGCACTTTTTCAACAAACATGGGAGTCACTAAAAACACACGGTGACCCACTTACCTTAACGGTATTAATAATGCTTTGATTCCTAATTTGAATTATTTTTAGAAATCATGTATCTCCAATGTCGAATGGTATAAATTCATTGGACAGCTACAAGGAGCTGGAGAACAAGGAACTGTAAAGCAACTCAATGATCTTAATGAACACGGAGAGTATACAGTATCAACCACTAAAGATGTACAAGAATGCACAGTGTCACTGACAATCAATTCAGTTGATCCTCATATTTCAAAGAAGTTCTGGACACTTGATGACTTACATGAGATTGAAAGTAAGCTTGTTCTAATAACTCGTCAAACATCAAAATGGGTGGATGCCAAAAATTTATTTCAAGAGGTAATTAATTGAAAACCATTTCAAGTATGTTGTACTTTTAAAATTTGTCCAAAACTTTCATAGATGTTAAGTAGAGTTTGTCAAATTTGTGATGTGGTTCAAAAGCTAAAAGAATATGGTCACATGAAGTACTTAGTATGGCAGAGAACACTTGCATGTTCTGATTTTGTGAGTGATCTAGCAAGTCTTGATAAACAAATAGAAGAGCTTGAGCAAACTCTTAGCAAATGGATAGGTTATGTTTGGAGATGTAGACATCAATACTCTGAGCTTAATTATTACAAAACCAATCAACTCATTGTTCTAAGGGAAGAATTGACAAAAGTTGATCAAGATGAGAACCATGAAATTAGCCTTCAAGTATTTCACTTATTGAACAGTACAATTGGGAAGCCTTTAGAATCTGAACTTATTGTTAGAAAAGCATTGAAAGGAGATGTTTCTCTTGATGATGAAAGTTTAAGTGTTAAAGAAGAATTCACTACAACAGAATCAGCACCACCACCTGTCCAATCAGTAGAAACAAATATTGAGCCTGAAGAGATTTCAAAAGTTTCTCAGTCTTTGGCCAAAGTTCGAAGTGATGATTGTATGAATAAGCTTTATGAAGAAGCAGATGTATTGGGGTATCCAGAGTATTTAATTCTTGAAGCACTTCTTAACCAAAATATTACAGATATTTTTGATATGATGGAATGGTATGATGAGTTGACTGATGATGATACTGATAAATATCAAAAAGAATGGATGGTAAATCATGTTGAAACCAAAAAGAACCCACTTTCTACAACTGAATCTGCCACTGATACCACCTTGTGTCATTCTTCACCAGAAGGCTTTAATGATATTGATATCAATCATGTGGCAAAGTATTTCTTTAAAAGAATGGAGAACAGTATATTTGAAAGGTATTTTTGAAGTTATGGTAATTATAATTTTAAATATTTATTATGATTATTTATTCTAGAACAACTAGTGTTGCTGATGAAACTGATTTTGTTTCATTGGAAAATTTGGGAAGGTGCTTACAAATCATTGCTGCTCGGCAAGGTATAATAATTATTATGAATAGTTTTGAATCAATACCTGTGTTATAGAATATCTAAAAGAGAGACATTTTTTGAAGCCATTTGAACAAGGGGTGCCTAACCTAGTTATAACTTCTGCAGGTATTAATAATAATTGCTTTATGATATATATATAAACTTTATTGTTATTGTTAGACAACATATTTATTTGCACTTTACAAATTTATTCTGCTGGTGACAATAACTCTTTACCTACCTTTGATGAAGTTTTTACTTGTTCCGAATCTACTACACTTGAAGAAGTAGCTATAGAAAGAATTATAATTGTGAAACATAATAATATCTATGATAGGTTACTATATTCTGGATGAGGGTACTCAGTAATCAAAAGAATAATCAGATTTATTGTTTACTTCATGGTGAAAAACTACCGTACCTTATTGCTGAAGAATCATTAGACTTACTAAAGTATCTGTCCCAAGGAAACGAAGGTATATTTGCAACAAAAATTTATAACAATTGCAGCAATTCTGAAAATTGTTTTATAGGGTATAAACTTGTGATTATATGTAGCAATGAAGAGGAAGGGAAATCAAATGTCATTTCTCGTCTCTATTCATATAGAAGAGAATGGAATCTTCCAACAGATGAAGATATGGAACAATTAGAGAAATTTTTGTGGCAGAATATAATTAAAATTAAGAGGAAAAGCTATATTGCACATGTTAATGCAGCTGATGTTGATACTGAAAGGTGAGTAAATTTTATAATAGATTTATCAATGAAGTTATCTATTACATCACTAAAAGCTCGCAAGTAAGAGTTTTTACATCAAAACAAGCAGGAGTTGGAAAATCATTATCAGTTAGAAAATTGAAGGACAAGCTTGTAAAGGTGTTTAGAGTGAATGGGTTAATAACAGAAAATCAAACTCAGAAAGCTATAGTTACTCTTCCACTGCATGGGCCTGTAGTGACTGCAGATGAAGTTCTCTCAATGCTATTGAAGGAAGGCTCTGACTTAAAATCTTGCATTATTCACTTAGATATTCCTATAAGGGTTAGTTTCTATTTTCTAGCTTATGTGTATACAATTAAGCCATTTTTAATAGCCATTATTTCGGTTTAAAATTTGGTCCTTGTTAAAAATTATGATATAGACAAAAAGCATAGGAATTAGAAAAAATTGTGTAAAAAAATTTGATTTTCACAACAAGCTATTAAAATTGCTTAGTTTAAAATTTATTCATTATTTTATGAGGGAATTTATTACAGTCAGACATCAGACATTTTCTGATCATTTGGCTCAATTGTCCGACCAGACTTTGTATTGTCTACCAATTTGCCTAAACAAATGTAATTCTTAAAATAATATTATAAATTTCAATTAATTATTAAAAGCAATTTAACATAATAATCAATAAATTATGTTAATTATGTTTCTACAAGCATGCTAGCTAAACGGCATGCTTCATGAATAGTTTAATTAAAGTATAGTAGAAGGCATTTTGAAACAATATTAAAATTCATTAAAAAATACAAATTTGTTTCAACCCAGCTCAAAGTTGATACTGTATAACGGGTTATTTTTGGGGTGCTTTCTTTTTGTGGCTTTGTGGTTTTGGGGCTTTACCATTTTACAGCCACAAAATTATTGTGCCATCCCTTTACAGGCTATGTAAAATGTCAACCATTGTAAAAAAATCCAGTTTGATCAGAATCAGCTCAAAGTTGATAGGCAACATAAAAACATGTATGTGTATCAAAAAAGTATAAAAATCAAGAATTCTCTGCCAGTCATTTTTGGCAAAATTTGGCCAAAGACTCTGCACTATGAATCCTACTTAGTAACACTAATAAGGGTATTATTCCCAATTTTTGAGCAACTTGACAATCCAATGACAAAAGGCTACATGAAGACTATGCCAAAATTCCTGTCCAATCGTTTTACTGAAGTGACAGATCAAATTAAGCTATGTTCAGGAACAAGTTTGAATGTAATTTCAGGCTCTGCAAGTAGCCACTTAAAATACTTAATTGTGTAAGGAATACCGTATATCATTCTAATCAATTTATGATAGGTGCTTCGAAGTATTGATGACATTATATTCAGTCTTCTGATACTTGGTGGATTGACTGACTCTAAAGGAAATGTTTGGAGAACCCATCCTTCCCAACTATATGCAATTGAATTGACATTACCCTCAACTAAAGTAAACTAATCTCATAGTTAATTATATATTACTTTATTTTCTAGTCTTATATTTGGGAGTTTTCTCAGACCAGAAGAGTTATAAACCTACTAAAGTTGTTCCCTAATACGGAATGTCCAACTCCCAAACAATTATGTGATTTAATGACTGAGGGTTAGCTAAGCTTGCTTTTATACATTTTGGTTATTATGTCTCATAATTTCAGACTCAGTTGCAATTGAGCTTCGAACTCCTATGTATCAAAGAGTTTATCAATACTTGCGATTGTTGGAGCTGGAAGAATATTCCAAACTTGAAAAATTCATATTTGTTGGTACACTAGAAGGGTCGGATAGAGAATGTCTGGATACCATTATTAGGTTAGACTCATCATAATGGTTTTTTATTAAAAATTCTAAACAATGTTTAGACATAGCAATATTTCAATTCCAACATGGAAGGAAGTTCGTCACTTTGTTTGGTTTCTGAACATACAGTTGAGTGCATGTGAGCAATCTAACATCATCAAAAGAGTACCAGGACTAAGAACTTTCGTTGTTGATTTTATGACAACAATGTCACGTGTAAGTTAAAATGATTCTTGGTATGTATAATTGTTTAATTTTTATAGGATTTTGCTACATCTTCAATGTCAACTGAAAGTACTGATAATATTCTTAACCAACATGTGCCTAGGAGACGTTGGGATGAAAGGTATAAGAGAATATAAGCATACTTTAATTAATAATTATCTTTTAGCATGCATCCATATCTCTTCTTCAACAAAAACAGAACTTCTGTCACTCATGTTGGTCTTCAATTTGAAACAAAAAATTCTCAGATTGTCCTTCAAGACACATATACTCAAAAAGAAATTAAAGCTGACATAGCTCCTGAATTGTTTGACTTTCTCACAAAATCTGTAAAAATTCCCCTCCAAAGTACTAGGTATGTAAATAGTAAATCTAATCTTAAACAATACAATATCCTCTGCACTATACATGCCTATTGGAGTAATGTTCAGAATCATAACTTTGACTTCAATCAGCTCAAACTAGATGTAAAACATCAGATCATGTATGTGTATCAGAAAAAAATTTTTAATGGAAAATTCTGTTTTATCCATTTTTGGCAAAATTTTGCTAAAGTTCCTTGTAATGTAGTACATGGTCTTTGGCCCAATTTTGGAGCAAACATAAAAATTCATAATAAATATAATTTTACACATCATCATAACATGTATCAGAAAATTTTTATAAAAATTGAGAATTTTCTCCTTACCATTTTTGACAAAATTTGGCCAAAGTTTTTGTACCAGGACTTTGGCCAAATTTTTGAGCAACTTCAAAAATTTATAAAATCCATTTTTGATCAGAATTTTGCAAACTTTCAAATGGAGAATTCTTTCATAGCCATTTTTGACAAAATTTGGCCCAAGATCATGTACTGTAGTACATAATTTTTGAGCAACTTTTAAAAATTTATATAAAATCCAATTGTGATTGGTATCAGCTTAAACTAGGTGTGCAACATCAGAATATGTATATGTATCTGAAAAATTAATGTAAATGGAGAACTACCCTCATAGCTATACATGTAGTGTTACTGAGGTAGATTGAGAACATTTACCCTGATAATTCCAAATATATTCCGTTTAGGCTTCAGCCTCAATTACAATTACACTTCTGGTAATTGTAATATGTAATGAAGCCTCTAATTACAATCACAAATATTTTTATTTTTTGTAGCAACTGCTCTGAAAATGAACTAGATCTAATTGAAAGATTATTGGAATTTATGAACATTAAAACTGATGAAATTAAATCTCCAGATGAAACCTATGTTCTTACTCAAGATAATTTAACAAAAATAATGGCCATTCAGACACGATTCAGGTTTCACAACAGTTTAGGTATTATGGTTACTTATTTAATTTATTCAGATGCCAAATACCAGTGGTTTTAATGGGTGAAACAGGATGTGGTAAAACTCATTTAATTCGTTTCATGTGTAAATTTGCGACTTACAACAAACCAATGAAAAATATGTTCATCCTTAAGGTGCAAATGATTATTTTTAATTTTAAACTATTATGTAATATGACAGGTTCATGGTGGAACAACAGAGGAAGACGTTATTCAGTGTGTCAATGAAGCAGAAACAGCCGCATTGGAAAATAGGAAGCATAAGATTGATACTGTAGTGTTTTTTGATGAAGCTAACACTAGTGATGTCATTAGTCTTATAAAGGAAATTATGTGTGATGGGAGATGCAGAGGAAAACTGGTTCCTCCTTTTTTGAAGTTTGTAGCTGCTTGTAATCCATATCGAAAGTAATTGCAGTTCATTTCTATTTTCATAAATTATTATTTTTTTATAGACATTCTCATGAGATGATAAAGAAATTAAGAGGAGCTGGATTAGGATGGCGAGATGAAGAAGCAAGTAACAATGCAGAAAAATTAGGTATAATATTTGTACAAGATTAAAATACAATTGCCAAATACTATCTATTATTCTAAACAGGAGAAATACCTTTAAGAGATTTAGTGTATCGAGTATTAGAATTACCCGACAGTATGAAAGCATTGATTTATGATTTTGGGCAATTAAAATATGAAACTGAAAGGGACTATATTTTACAAATGGCACGTAATAAGGTGCATAATGAACAGAAAAATGACTATAATTTATGAGCTTTTTAGCTTCAAAAAAAAGATGAAGTTTCTCATGATTGTGTGATTGCTATTGGTGAAGTATTAGCAAAATGCCAAGATTTTTCAAAACAAATGAAAGTAAATATTATCAATTTGATTTTCTAAGTGAACCATATTGTCTAATAGGATGAGTGTAGTTTTGTGAGTTTACGTGATGTAGATCGAGTTCTTGTACTATTTATATACTTTTTGGATGTATTCACTGATGTGTTTCAAGTATGTAGACTACTGGGTAGTCCTAAAAGTCATACCATGATTAATTTTAGATTAATGGTCACGATAATGTGGACAAAATTACCCAATCATTATTACTAGCACTTAGTGTAGCATATTTGGCAAGAATGGCTTCACGTGATGCATTTATGACTAAAGTTTTAGGATGCATCAAACCACCACTTCATTTTGTTGATTTGCTACAATATAAAAATATTGTAAAAAAGTAAGCTTTTCTTGTCTTGTTAGTATTAAAAATTATTTTTAAAAGGTATCAAGAAAAACTATTAGATTGCATGGAAATTGAAAATAATATAGCTAAAAATGCTGCTCTAAGGGAGAACATATTTATGATGTTTGTGTGTATTGAGTTGCGTGTTCCACTATTTCTTGTTGGGAAACCTGGAAGTTCTAAATCGTTAGCTAAAGCAATCATCGAGAATTCATTAAAGGGAAAAAATTCAAAAAAACAACAATGAAGCAGTTCAAACAAGTATGTGCAACATATTGTAAATAATTTATTACTATTTCACAATAGATCCATCTTCATTCCCACCAATGCAGTGGGTTATCAACTCCTGCTAGTATTACTGAAGTATTTGTGAATGCCAAGAACTTTCAGGAAAAAAGAGACACAACAACATTTGTATCAGTAGTTGTACTGGATGAAGTTGGTTTAGCTGAAGCATCACCTTACCTTCCATTAAAAGCATTGCATCCATTGCTTGAAGATGGAACTGAAGGATCTGGAAGTGATGATCAAGTGAAATGATTATTGTTTAATTTTAAAAGTAATATATGTACTCCAATACTTAGCGTGTTTCCAGAGATAAAAGGGTGGCATTTATTGGTATATCAAACTGGGCTCTTGATCCTGCTAAGATGAACAGAGGAATCATGGTGACACGTACTGAACCAAGCATTGTAGATCTTAAAGAGAGTGCCATGTACAAAAATGATCATTAATTGTTGAGTTATATTAAAATTTTTAGTGGTATATGTTCAGATAAAGGGAACAATGATCCAGTGCTTAATAGGCTAAGGATTTACTTTACTGAACTTGCAAGTGCATATAAAAGCATATGTGATCTTCAAAAAAGGGAATTCTTTGGACTTCGAGACTTTTACAGGTAAAATTACTTTCTAACAATAAATTTATACCTATGCAGTCTTATTAAAATGCTCTACTGGATGAGTGAAGAGACTGGTTCTATACTGACAAGACCACAACTTGAACATGCTGTGAGACGTAACTTTAGTGGCTTTGATGAGTTTGATACTGTTGCTAAATTTCAATTGCAGGAACTAAAAGTACTAAAAAATATTATCAAAAATTAGTGGTATCATTATTTGTAGGATAATGAATTAAAAATCATACAAAATTTTCCATGTCAGTTTGTAAGTTTTTAATACTTGTGCTCTGAATTTTTTTAATTTTTAATAATAGAAACAATTCAGGAATAAAGATGTTGTGATAGTAAAATGTTTTTCAACTGGGGAGTTTCTGTCCATTGATGAAAATGATGATGTTGTCTTTACAACTAATCAGTTAAGAAATGGTATGCTCCATAAATTTTTTAAAAATTTATATTCGTTTCAGCTCAGTTTATTATTCACATAAAAGAGAAGGGCAAGTTTTCATTACAGTGCATCTGCAAGAACTCATTGTGGCTTAAAGTCATGGAATCAAACTTGGTATAAACTCTTAATAATCACTTTATTTAAACTGTCATAACAAATAGGTCACATGTTCATATGATGAATATGATCTTCAATTGATACCAACACAAGGTATAATACTATGAGTATATGTAAGAGTTTCAAATTATTTATAATTTAGATAAAAAGGCTTCTTTGATTTGTTCCTATCAGCAGAAATTAAGTTCTGAGCAGCAAAAAAGTTTCACTCAATATCACCTGATTGCTCCAGTATTAATGATAACTAACTTTCATATTGTTTTACAAAAAATTTAGGATGACCCCATTACAAATCCTGATTACTCTTCTCTTGGTTTAATCAGTGCAAGTTTATCGAATAAAAAAACGACTTATCATGGGTATGACTATGGATATAATTCATACATTTTAATTTATTTGTTAATAATAGAGAAAGTCGCTATCTTCTATTTTTGACTCAAAACTACTCTTCACTTCAAGTTTTAAAGCATTATATTGTGACAAAGTGCTTGCAAGATTTCAACACCTCACAGACCTCACCAGAAAGCAGTATTCAACAAGCTGAGCCATTTGTTCTGTTTGGCAGTAGTTTTCCCAAGGACAAAGAGTTTGCCCAGGTATGAAAAGACTGAAGTAATAGTTCTAATTGAAAATAAACTATTATAGGTTTGCAGAAACATTAGTGAAATTAGGCTTTGTATGGAAAGTGGTCGTATGGTCATACTCTTGAACTTAGAAAATTTGTATGAGAGCTTGTATGATGTCCTTAATCAAGTACATGACTAAAAATTAGATATACCACATTATTTATATTTTTAGTACTACATCAAAAGTGGAGGACACAGATATGTTGACTTAGGTCTCAGGAGTAACAGAATGAAATGTACTGTTCATCCTAACTTTAAGTTGGTTTTATGTCATGCTGCTCTATAACTGTTTCAAAATTTTAAAACAGGCTGGTATTAATTGCAGAGAGAGAAAGAGTCTATCAAGAATTCCCAACTCCTCTTATTAATAGACTTGAAAAGCATTTTGTTGATGCTACAACAGTATTACAACAATGGCAGAAAGATGTTTGTAATCAGTTAGACACATGGATTGAAACTTTTTTGACTGAAAGGTACTGTACATTGTATATTGATGAAATTATTACTGACATTGTAGATTTACTAAGGATGATGCATTCATTGGCTACAGTTCAGACACAAATGCAGCAGTTGTATTACAAGCAACATATATAGCAGACTCAGAAAATGATATGGAAAAGGTATTTTTGATATTTAGCTAGCACAGTATCTACACATAATAGGTTCTTGAGATCAGTAAAAGACTGCTGTTGCAGATAGCTTCTCCAGATGCTATTGTCCGAAGCATTTATAATTATAACATGGATAAGAAATACCAACAAATATATTTTGTACATCAAGAGCATTCATCACTTGCAGATCTCATAAACAGAATTCCTCCAGATAATCAAACATTATTACAGGTATAATCACAAGAACATTATTTAATTGATGCCTTATGCATATTGTGTAAGTTTAATTTATAGCTAACATATAATCATTAGGTGACTACTCATACTCCAACACTCTCACAAACTGAATTTGAGGAATTAGGAAATCACATTGGAATTGAAAAGGAAAATATGACTAGAATTCATTTAGAAGCATTTCAAACTGAGCAAGATTTTATTAATAGCATTGAGTAAGTAAAGTGGTAGTGCATATCTTTTTCATTGAATTGTAGTATGATGATAAAAAAGGGTGAGTCCCATGAACATTGTGTCATTTTTGAATGTGAAAGAGCACATGAAAATGGAAATTTAATTTCTTGTTGTCGGTATCGTCTTACTGACAAATTTAGAGAAGCTGCTATGTCAGGCTATTTAAGCACTAGATTCATTCTCCTCATTCATCTGCCAAAAAAGTGTTTAAAATCAAACTTTGTAAGCTTTCAAGGGCGTCCTTGGCTATGCTATCATGTCGATGCTATATTTTCTACTGAGAATTCAGTACCTTTAAATCAGATCCTTAGTGGTGAAGTGTGCTCTATGAGTGATATCTATTATGATGAGAATGATTATGCTTTGACTGATTCTTCAACTGATGATAGTGATATTAGTGACAGTCTGCTATTCAAAGAGTATCAACTTGTACCATATTCAGAGCCTCAAAAAATAAACCTTTGCAAGCGGATGTATTTACAAATATCAAAAGCTGCATCAAATCCTGAGCAAGTTAATCAACTCTCACAAATCATTCCTCAAAAAATACTTTTCCCACTTAGTAAAGGTGAGTAATAAATTTTAGTTCCATTGTAAACATTAAACTGAATTTTTTACAGATGAAATTACATTTCATTCACAAACCATTCGTCTTATTAAGGGTATACTCAAGGATAGAGAGTTAAAAGAGGGTACAAATGCTCAACAAAAATGGATACTAGATGAATCTATGAATATGACTAAGCTTCAAGAAGCTGGAACATTTCAAAATGCAGTCGTGAGAAAATTTGATGATGTTGTCATTCCAATATTTGCAAAAATCATTTCTATTGTCGATAAATACTATAATTTGAAATTACTGTCCAAATTTGAATCTGAGTTAAAACAATTGTGGCTTAATTTATACAACTCTGATTATGTCACCCAGCTGATAATGTCAAAGCTTCAATATACGCCAGATGATAGCCTCAGTATAAATACTGCCTCCACACAATTTTCATGTCGTTTTCCATTTTCCTGGATTTTAAATGATATTGTTACTGGAAATCCTAATAAAAGTAAAGTTTCACTAAATATTCAGTTATATTATATTTTTGATAGATTCAGAGGAACTGATAACATTAGTGCAGGACCATGACTTGCTCAAAAGCTTTGAAAGTTTGTCAGAAACTACTATTAGCTCTCTTGCAAAGTTTTATGTTCATGATTTTGTTCATCTCTTGGATACTAAAAGACAGCCAGTGGAAGAAGAATACTATGAGGTATGAACTAATGAATGAGTTCCATAATAATTGTTTTTAGGTTTTGGAGGAATGTATGATTGCTATGTCAGGAATATCCTTTTCTGATGAGCTTAATGTCACTTCACTGTTTCAAATAGTTGTAAATGTACAGAGGGTTTATTTTGAAAACAAGTCATTTTTTGATTTGTTTTCTGAGCTCATAATACTAGTGCCATCTACTGCTCAAAAATTAAAATTAAAGTCAAATGATTCAAATATTGAAGTAAAGTATACTCTTAATGCAAATTTTTAATGATTATTGATTATTTTTGTAGATACTATTAGTTGATGCTTTAGAAATAGTTTTAAATAGCCCTTTCTTAGACGTACAAGTTCCACTAATGAGTAAAAAAGAAGTGTCACTACAAGGATGGATGCAACAGCAGTATGATTCACACAAAGTCATTTCTAGCATTTTTGAAATATGTAATATTATACCTTCAGAAGTATGGTAAGCTTTAAAATTATATACTTTTCTAACTAACTTGTTATTGAAATGCCTTTTTTATTTTAGCCTAAAATGGCATTGGGTTTGTGTGATGAAGCTGTTCTTTGAGTATGTTGTATTGAAAAATCAAAAAGAAACAATAATTTTTGCTAGAAGAATTGAGAAGGTTAATTCGTTTCAATAAAACAATTTAATCATGATATTAATACAGTTTTCAGCAAAAATTGATGACTTTAAAAACTCCAATACTCTTAACATTGTTGCATTTTTACTTTCTGGAATTGAGAAAGAATTAAAGAAATTGTAAGACCATTTTAATTACAAACCACCTTACTTGACTTTGTATTTAGGCCAGAAGCAGCAAAACAGCAGACAATACAAAAAAGCTGTTGGTCTTTCTTCTTAGAAGTGTTGTCTACACTTTGCATTGATGGAGATATTTTTAATGAAGAATTGATTGATACTCTAATTCAGGCTGTATTCTCAACTTCTCAAA